GGATAATTTAAATTCCTAATTTTCAACTTGAATTCCTTTAATTTGTTTTTCTTGCCTAATAGCTCTGACAAGAACTTCCAAGACTATATTGATTAGCAGTGGGTAAGAGTGGACATCCTTGTCTGATTCTAGATCTTAGTGGAAAAGTTTCCAGCCTTTCCCCATTTGGTATGTTGCTGGCATTGGGTCTTTTTGTATAGTGCTTTGATTGTATTATAGAATATTCTTCCCCTTCCCATGCCTGTCTTGCTGAAGGTTTTTTTTTTTTTTTTGCGTGAAGTGGTGTTGGATTTTATGAGATGCCTGCTTTGCATCTATTGAGAGGATTTGTGGGTTTTATTTTTCAATTTGTTGGTGTGCTGTATCACCTTTGTTGGTTTGTAAATGTTCAACCATCCGTGCCTGCCAGGGATAAATCCCGCCTGGTGACAGTGAATGATCTGTCTGCTGTATTGTTGGATTCTGTTCCCTTGTATTTTGTTTAGGATTCTTTCATCTGTGTTCAACAGGAATACTGGTCTGTAGTTCTCTTTTTCTGTTGCATCTCTCTCTGGCTTTATATTAAGGTGATAGGGCTTCATAGAAGAAGTTAGGATTGTCTCCCATTTATTGCTTGGAATAGCTTCTGCAGAATTGGGGTAAGTGCTTGAAACATTTGGTGGAATTCAACAGCGAAGCCATCTAGTGCAGGGGTTTTCTTGGTTGGGAGGGATTTAATTACTGGTTTAATCTTGGTTCTTTTATAAGTCTATTTAGAGTTTTAATTGCCTTAGGATTCAATTTTGGTGGGTTATATGTATCCAAAAATTTATCCATTTCTTCTAGCTCTTCTGATTTCTTGGCATATAGTTGCTTTTACTAGTTCCTAATACTTCTGTGAATGTCCAAGGTGTCCGTTGTTATATTTCCTTTTTTGTCCCTAATGCTGTTGATGTGTATCTTCTCCCTCCTTTTTTTTTTTATTAGTTTGGCTAGTGGGGAATCAATTTTGTTGATTTTCTGAAAGAACCAGTGTTTTGATTATTCATATGTATTGTTCTTTTGGTCTCTCTTTGGTTTATTTTCTCTCTTATTTTGGTTATTTGTTTTTTCCTGCTAATCTTGGGATTGGTTTTTTTTTTAACTCCTTCAAATGTATAGTTAGTTCATTTTCTTAGTGCTTTTCTGATTTCTTAACAATAAACATTGATTGAGATGAACTTTCTTCTTCACATTGCCTTGATTATGTCCTGTAAGGTTTGATATGTCGTGTTGAGTCCTTTATTTATTTCAAGCAATCTTTAATTTCCCCTCTGATTTCCTCTCTAACACATTATTCATTTAGTAGCATATTGTTCTGTCTCCGGGTCTTTGCATGTCTGCTGTTGTATTTTGACTTATTGGTCTCCATTTTCCCTCCATGATGGATTTTAGGTGTCAAATGCGAAAGTGCGCCGTGCTTTCCTTGGCGTTGATCATTCCCAAAAGCTAAACACATATTTGCCAGAATATATAATCCACAGTAATGTTACAGTTTAGTTGTATCTGATGAGCATAATAGAAATTCATCCTAATTCTCTTTCAAGTCCTCTCTGTATGCATAGATGTTATCCATGTGCCATTGAGAAGATCGAAGCTAATTGATAGGGGTGAAATCATTCATCATGTATTATAATGGAGCTGTTTAATTCTCTGTAACTTTATATATTAAAATTTCGCTTCTTTGTTTTTCTTCTTCCCTCTTTCTATGATGTCCCTTTCAACTTGCCTTCATGTTGACTTTCCTTTTGTTGTCACAATGTATTCCTGTGAATAATAATCTCTTCTCATAATCTGATCCTCTAAAGTTTCCATTCATTCCAGAGACATTCCCTGGGTGCTCTTCAACCTTTTCTTGTTTGTAAACCTTATTACTAACACTGCCCGTTTTAGCTAGCAAAACCAGTCAACCGGCTTCATCTGAAAACAAGAATTTTCAAATATCCCTAGGCTTTTGTTTAAACCTTACTGTCTGAATCCACATATCAATGTCTAATTCCAATCTGTTTCATCCTCACTCATGGTATGCTTATAATAGAGGGGGCGATTTCAGAATGTTGATGGAGGAGTAAAATTAAAAAACAAGTGTTGGTATACAATTTTGAAATCTGTGTACAGTTTTCATAATATTTATTTTCCATGAACTCGTTTTGAAGATCTCTAATAGGTATGTGTGTGTGTGATGTATGTATATACATACGTATTCTTCCAAGAAGTGACTGATGGTCACATGAAACTTTTCTGCTATTTTCTGACGAGTTTTTTTTTCTCTTTGAAAACAGAAGCACTGACTAATCTCCTTTGAGAGCAGTAATGCTGAGCTCCTTTGTAAAGTCTTACAGTTTAAGATTTTGGTAAAATATTTACTCATTCCATTTGCATATGGAACACCCCGTCACTCTCATAAGTAAAATCCATCCTCCAAACATTGCCATCAGGTTCATCATGATAAAAGATTCTTGTATAAAACTGAAGTTCCCTAGAGTATTTCTAAAGAACTTAGTAAATATTCAATGTCTTTGTAAGCACCTAGTGTTCTCGTTACCTGTTTGGACTAATTAATCAACATTTTGAGTTCACTGGTGTTTGGAAGGCTGTTAGTTTCCAACCTGATTTCTCTGAGGGTGGTTGTTTTGCTTAGAGATAAAGGATAATGTTAATTTCTTGGTTTTCCTATCATAACATCTTTCCTCCTTTCTATGCTCTAGCCCCCACACATTCAGCACAGGTCCAATCAGATTAGGGCAGAAGATTCTTGCAACCAAACAAGCAACTCCTTTGTTACCTTTATGGCAAAAACAAAACAAAAGTCCTCGGAAGGTTCAAGAATTTTTGGAAAGTTAGTTTGTTTCTCTCATGGGGTAACCCATTTTGACCTCTGTCGCCAATTATACACTTCCTTACCTCCCCCCAAGCTGTTTAACATCAGAGTAGAAGTGAGAAAATAATTTCCTAATCACCTGACTTTCTAGGGAATCATTGAAATTCTGGAACCACCCTATATTAAAAATGTAAAGAATAGAGGCAAGTTTCTAAGAAGTAGAAATGCTAAAAAAGGCTAAGTAATGGAAATGCTGGTTTATCTAATATCCAGGCCTCAGAAACCCTGAGCATGGGCGGCCCTCAGTACTGCCCTGTTGCTGTTTTTCTGAGTTTTCCTTTCATTAACACCAAGAGAACCACAAGATATGCATCATTTTATTTTTATTTAGTGAGATGAAATCTTCGATTAAATTCCATACATTCAAATTGAAAGAAAGAGTAAGTATTGTAGCAGATTAATATCATAGGCAGATTCTCCCGAGAAGTGGTTTGTGATTAATAGAGTCTTCTCAGCTGTTTTTAACCTGTATTTCTGAGACGGAGAGCACTTCCTGATCTGCTTGTAAGAGACACAGTACCAGGGTCCCTTTAGTTGTAGTTTTAATATTATGGTAAGATGCTTGTTTGTTCCTTACATTTCTATGTGTCATGGATCATTTCTCACTCATGTAACATCTCTTTCTTCAGTTTATTTTCAAGTAAAATGAAGACCAACATTGATTTCCATCTGGTTGTGCGAATGTTTCAGAAGCCAGTTTACATAATTCTGTATTCTAACAATGGCTAACGATAGAATAAATCGTATTACTTCCTCTTATGAATTAATTTAAGGCTTTTTCACCTCCAGCTTCCAACACTAAAGTGTTTTTCGAAGTATTATATTTTGTTAACTCAGATGTAGAGGACCAATCAACTTAGGAACAAAATATAAACTAAATTTAAAGGGTTAATGAACAGTTTGTTTAGAAGACAACTGTATTTAACATTTCTATAGTTGGTGCTGAATATTCTTTGTGTACAGTATTCTACCATGAATAAATGGAAGCTTGACAGGAAAGATAGGCTTGGCTCTGGCTGTTAACCGCCTCTGGTTTTTCTTTGGGAGGGAAAAGTGTATTAAAATTTCATGGCATCATCACTTTCCACAGCCACAATAATGTGTAAGAAAGTGAACTACATGTTAAAGCACTGAATATTTTTATAATTATACTAACGTTGCTGATGTGGTTATATGGTTCAAAATATCGAAACCAACTTTCTCATAATTTCATAATACATGTTTTCCAAAATTCTCCAGTTGCTATCATTTGCTAGAACCAGGTGACAAAACTTATTTGTAATAGGATGTGTGAACAGTAGCCGAAGATTGGTACCTCTAAGGCTGTCCGGGGTCTATCCTGCTCACTGCTGTCACATGCTACTAAATGAAAGCTTTATGACTGCTCGTGCTTTGTTGAGATGACAAGAAATAAAACTAGTTTTGTAGTTTTCCCTTTTCTTTTCTCACTCTGAGTTATTTTTCTCTTCTGGATTGCATCTCTGCTATCATTCCTACCAGCTCTGCCTATTACCACATCCTGAAATACCACACAGGGTCCATGGTTCCATCTTGATGTTGGTTTATTCTAATGACCAACTTTGGTCATCCTAATGACCAAATTTCAACGTAAGATTAAGAGAAGAGTGTATACATTTTTATACATGTGCATTAAAATACTAAATGCATATGACATTCAGAATCTGTGATGGGGCTTTTCCTCTCATGACACACTCAAACAGAAAATACTTCTTAGATGCTAGACTAGAAAATGAGTGGGTATTCTCTCACACCTTGAGCTATCAAAGTCAAGAATGTTTTTTCTTAACTCGAAAAAATATGTCAGGGGTTCCTGCTCCTCAGGTCTCCATTCCAATTAGACTTACAGGATATTCAAAAAGGATTGCTTTTGTTATTGGGTTGTTATTAAAGTGTGCCTATTTTTATTTTATTCTCTGGGGTTGTGGGGGAAGAAGAGGGAACAGCACACTTGGTGACAGCTGTTCCTTAGTCACCATTTACAAGGAAACTGAACTTGAAAGAAACTATTCAGAAAGTCTCTGGCCAGCCATTTGTGACTATCTTGTCTTGAGCCCTTTTTTTTAATGACATCTATTATCAGATTGAAATGGCGATTGAGACGCTGCAAAAGTCTGACGGTCTGTCCACTCACAGAAGCTCTCTGCTCAACAGCCATGTAAGTTGCCTCTTCTTGTACACTAATCTCTGGCTTGTTCTGCATGTGTTGCTTGCCTCTAAATGCTTGTTTTATTTATTTGTTATTTATTTGTTCATTGATTTATTTCACTTCCTAACCTCCTTTCCTCAGCCCCTTATCATCTCTATCATTTAATGTCTATATTTGAAGTGGAAAATCAAAAAAGCAGAGTCCCGAGGATTCTGCTTTTCTAGGTGTTTGTACTCATGTTGGTACATATCTAACATTTTTTTAAGTTAATAACAAGTTGTTATTGTTGTTAAGTTGTACTCTTCAAAGTAATTAATGATGTTTTAAACATAAGTACAGCTTTTTTTTTTTTTCAGTTTGGTGTTTTTTTGACTGTGGAATGAAAGCCCATAAGCTGCATCTCTGGGTCCTAGACAGAGAAAAGGTTGTGTCTATTCCTGTGACCAGTAGCATTGTTTCATGTGAGAAAAGATTACTCAAGCCAAATGCAGTGGTAATCTGAAAGTGATTGCTTGACCAGGAAGGCAGTAGAAGGTAGCTGAGGTCCTGGGACCTAAAGAGAAATGAAGGTGAGCCAACAGAAACAGTGAAGCCGTAGATGACCCTTGAACTGCTAATAACTGAGGTAGATCAGTTGTCCTGCCTGTGTCCTGAACATTGTCACTCTTACCCAGCTGCTGCATCCCTGGGACTCTGGTAAGTAACCGTGAGAGGGGTGATGGCAGTTGTATGAAATCAAAAATAGCTTTTTATTATCCAGTACTAACATCTGAGGAATAAAAGCAAATACAACTTAGAAATTACCTTGTGCAAATGAGTTTTTTTGACTATGTGGGAACAAATAAATAGACTTGGGATTTAAATCTATTCGATAGAGATGTACTGCTAAAGTGATATTAGTGACATTAGTTAGAAGGATTTTTCTTTTTCTCTAAAACACCAAAATTAAAATCTACAATTTCTTCCCAGGGTTTAGTTCATGGAACATGTTTTTGCTATGCTTTGTAAAGATTTGAATTTCAAAAAAATTTAAATTTTATGTTTCAAAATAACATTAAAATTTTCCTTATGTTCAACACATTTGCTTTTTCCTGAGGCATTTTTTTTCCCCTGTTCCTTTATCAAATGGCAGTTTCATGGCACAGAAGAACATGACTGCCAGCTTCAAGAATACCGATGTAATTTTGGTGAAAATTAAAGATGTAACTTAAAAATAATAGTGTATATTTTTGAAACAATTTGAAATACATGACTTGCTTCCCCTTTTGACAAAACCCATATTTAATACAGTTCTCCTCTGTAAGTTTTCCAAGCGTATCCCTGCCATGTAGGCCTGGATCTGCTTTGCTAAATGATAATTTACTGTATCCTAATAGACTGTGTAAACATGGGAGAGAGGGTGATACGTAATCTGGTATGTGTGTTTTGAAAATGTCCTCCAGTTTCGGTCAGAAAAGTGCAGAGACTTAAGAAAAAAAATAAAACTTAAACTTCCAGGTGCTTTTTGAGTTGTGTCTTAACGGTCAATTCACATTGCGTTTTTGTTTGACATCTGTAATTCAACAAAGCAGATGATGTGTTTAATTGTGTGCTTGATGTTAGTTCATTGCGTCTGTATATGTTTAATTTTAGTTCATGAGTATTTTCATGAACAATAATATACAGAACATAGGTTTTGTATTTTTTTTACTTGTCAATTTGTTTGCAGCTCTTCAAATATCTAGGTTTTCTAGAATAACTTTTCTCATATAATTCATGAGGTGATATACAATGAATGAATGGTTTATATTGCATAAACCACATGTGTGTGTTCATTTTTCCACCACTTCATGTTTTCTATGACAGCATGGCACATTTTCCATACTTTTAGTAGCGTGCATTGCATTCCAGTGTATCACAGTGCACAGGACAAGTGAGCACATATATTACAAATGCGAGAATAACCTTTCTCTAGCGCCTCTGATTCGATTGTATCACACCTCTAAGACACAGTTAAGTTGATTCAGAAGCGCATGTTTAATCATGTCTTTAGGAATATGCATGATTCACCAGATGACTTGTAAGTGGAGACAGGACCAGTGGTCTGCTGACCTGTCCATGAGGTTCGTCTCTCCCTGAATCAGAAGAAAACATCCTGGAGCCTTTCTATTTCTGGGAAGTTTGTTGTACTCCAGATTTTCATTAGAAATGCCACAGGAACTAGAGTAAAATATTGCTTGGATTCTAGTTGATAACAACCTGCTAAAGGAATTCTGAATTTTGGGAATCTGATTGAGTTTTCCATGTTTAGAAAATTTTCAGCAGAGATTTGCAAGAACGTTTTAAATGGCAAGAAGCAATACATGTCTCCTCATCTATGACATTCTATTGAATTATTTGAGTTTGAGGGATTATTCCCTATCACCTGTATTCCATATTTACACGTTTTGCAAGGGGGGATGTGAATTATGCATTTGGAGCTGAGAAGGCTAGTCTCATATCGTGACATGACATGGAAAGGATTCTTACTTTCTTCTTATGACTGGTTATCAGCTCTAATTCAGCAAACTTTTCTGGGGAGAAGATCAAGTAAACAGTCCTTTTCAAGTAGAATCCAGCTTGCTTGGCTTTTTCAACTCTGTATTGAGGATGAGGTATATCCCGTTTGCAACACGTCCTTAAGGATTTGTGCTATGCCTCATCTATTTTTACCACTGTCATGGTATTAGCATTCAGATTAAAATGCATTTATAACTTTTTGCACACCATACAGTGCCCATCTATGACTGAACAGAGCTGCGCTGCATCCACAGTGCTATTCTAATAACAGTGGTAAGGTGGTGGCAGTGATGTTAGCGCAAACATTTCATAGGCGATTTGCAAATAAGTTTTGACCAATGAAACTTCTAAATAAAGTATAGATTATTGTATACTTTGGCCACCCAGACATCCCCAGTATCGTGTGGATACGTGGTGAACGCTCACTAAATATTTACTGAAGGAACGAACATTAAGAAACAAGAGGATGGAATAGACCTTCTCTTAGATTCACTGTGTTAGGATGTCTTTGCCGGTAACATATGCATCTCCACATGGATCTGTGCATGCGTTGTGTTCCTGCCATTGATTTCTAGTGTGCCTCAATAGCTGCTGGTGTGAACTGTTGAACAAGGTTCCTCTCCTGGCTCACCAGCTGATGGAAAAATCGGTGGTTACTTTCACTTCCCCACATGCAACCTTCAGTTTAAGAACAGGCAGGATTTGTTTGTTTGTTTGTTTGTTGCCTCAGCTCACATTATTTTTTTAGATTCTAGCCAACAATGACATCATCACCTTTTTATGAGCATTTCAGAAAGTTCATGAAAACTGGAATTGTACATATTTCTCCAAAACTTTTAAAATTAATACATGGTTTTTCATGGCTATTCCTTTTCCATGAACTTTATGAAGTAACCTCATGTTTTAGAACAATACTTTCGGTTTGATTTTCCAGAATTCTGTCTAGAATTTAAATACACTTTTAAATGAAATTATTTTTATTTTTAACATTTTTTTATGTGAAAGTGCTGGGTAAATGATGTTTAAGATATTTATCATTACAGAATTGTTTTACATATTTTTTTCTCCATTGTGATTAAGTCAACATTTCATGGTAATGTATGCAAATTGGTTTATTTCATACCTTTAAAATTCAAAATGTTAAATTCCTTGTTCTCTTTTTCATATAATGTTATTTTTTAAAATGCTGTCCTAAGCATATAAAAAGAATTAGTGTTTATCTTATATATTTTTGAAATTTGGTAAAAAAATTTTTTACAGTTTTAACTTGAAATATATTCAACTGAAAGAAACCTTCTTTTTCATTTGCCTTCCCTTGATTTTGTGGCATTTTAAATATAAGTTATGTTTAAATTATTACAGAAATAAGGACTTTCAAGATTCATATTATGAGTGAACTGAACTTAAAATAAATCCTCATTGATAAGAACCCATTTGGGAAAGAAAATGCCAAATGTTACATTTAGATGTGAATTGAGTGATGCTATGTTTATTTTTTATTTGTCAATCAGTATGTTTCTTTGAGAAAAATAGGAACTGTTTATTTTTCTTAATGTATCCTATTTAAAATGGATTAAATGCGTAGATTGAAAGGTGTGATTATCTTGACTTCTACCATTGGATGAATTTAGGTTCGTTCATTAGTAAAATACTGGGATTATATAGATACGGTTTAAAGTTCTCATCATATTTTTATGAGTTTTTTTGATGGATAGATGTGAGCCAACAGTTACAGGGTTTCAGAAAGAGAGAGTGACAGAAATAGAGGAAGCAAGCTTTCTAGTTCACTCCCCAAGTGGCCTGAGGCCGGGCCATGCTGAGCCAGAGCTTCTTCATGGTCTTAGTTCACTCACCAAGTGGCCTGAAACCGGGCCATGCTGAGCCAGAGCTTCTTTCTGGTCTTAGGTGCCGGAGCCAAGTTCTTGGACAATTCTCCACTGCGTCCCCATGCATAACAGCCAGGAGCTGGACTGCAAGTGGAGCAGCTGGGCATGAAGCTTGTGCCCACAAGAGATTGTATAAAGAAGTAAAAGATAAACTAATAGTTTAGCTCTAAATTTTTGAAGTTAAGAGTGTTGTATTCTGATACCGTACCTTTTATTGTAGACAAGACTGATTGAAGTCTTGAAACAGGCACCAACTTACCTTGCATGACACAAGGATAAATCAGACTTGCTCATACCCAGAAACGTAACTGTAAAGTTTCTCCTACTGTGAAAGAACTGCTTTCTAACAATTATTTAGACTAAAATTTTATCAACGTGTTAAAAACTAGAAGTGAAAGTAAATGTTGTTACCTGGTTGAATTGTAAAGCCTTATATCATAACCCTTAAGACAGTGTCGGCAGCTACAGTGTTTTTAGAAGATCTACCTCTGGTTGGTGTGGCGTTGGGCAGGCTTCCTGCCTGGGACCAGCCGTGCTGCGACAAAATCCCATCCCTTCCAGGCTGTTGCACTGCACTTCACTTTGTTCCTTCGCAGTGCCCACCAAGCTTCTGGCAAGGAAGAACATTGCTCCTGCAAACACAGCAGAACATACAAGGCAGCCTTGCCACAGCTGGAGTCACAGCTGTCAAATGCCTGTGTCTGTGGAAAGCTTGCAAAGCCAACCAGTGGTTCTGTGTGTTTGTGGATGGTCTATAGAGACACCTGGCTCCACAAACTCAGTTTTAAGAAAATTACTTGAGATGAAGACAAAGGAATGTAGGCTGTGTGAGAACAATGACCAGGTTACAAAAGAGCCCAGATGTGGTGTCGTGTTCAGCCCTTTCGTTGTACTGCTAGGCTAGGGAAAGCTCTTACTTCTCTGAAATACTCAGCAGGAATATTAAGAATATGATTTAGGTTTCTAAGCAGTTTATGCCAAGTCTTGCTAGAATTATCTTACTGTTTATATAAAGAGTCTACTTTGCCTAAGATAATTCTGATGTATTTATAGATAGATATGTGTATATATTTGAACACAGAAACACATCAGTATATATTTTATTTTGAACTTTTATATTATGATAGTGATATAAAAAACCCTTTCAGAGCAGTGCTTTGTATATTGTTTTACTTTTCAAATTTAAAGTTTTAGCTACATGATGATTTCTATAATCTGGAGAAATAATTGCTCATCTTTAGGTATTTCTGCTTTTCAGTAATTGTTTCAAGAAGACTACTACACTATCAAGGCCATCTACAGAAATTTTATGAGTAACTTTTTAATTCAGTAATTTTCATTTGCTTTATATCTTTAAAAGTGTTTCTGTTGAGTCACTTTTATAATAAATGTTCTTCTAGTTACAGAGCTCATGTTATACAATTGATTGTGTTCATTTCTGAAAAAAGGAAAAATAATCCTTAAAACTTAGGTGTCCTACATGTAATGTGTTCATTTATAGCAAGGAGTATAGATTTTTTCACATTTTAAAGAACTTTATACCATTATGCCTTTTACAGTATGTATTCTTTTGTGAGAATACATGAATGCACTTACAAACATGTTTGGCATTTTAACTATGTTTATTTTGTGCTCCTTTCTTGTAGAGATAGGAATTTATTAGCTCAGCTTTTAAAGTTATTGCTATGTCCAGATGTGGACACTGGCATATGTGACCAATCCTCCACTTGCTGCACTGGCAGCCTGTGTGGGCATGAGCTGGACTGGCTGCTCCACTTCCACTCCAGTTCCTTCCTATTGGCCAGAGCAAGCAGCGTAGGACGCCCCAAGACCTTGGGCCTCTCCATTCACGTGCGAGACGTGAAACAAACTCCTTACTCCCAGTTTTGGACTCGCCCAACTTGGGCCATTGGGGCTATCTGGGCAGTGAATCAGCAGATAGAGGATTTCTCTCTCTCTCTCTTTCTCTGTCTCTCCCTCTCTATTTCAAGTAATGTAAATAAATGTTTAAAAAGATTACTACCTTCTGAAAGATGTGTACAATTCATTTTTAAGAGATTCTTTTCCTCAGGTGTCTCCAGTTGAGTCCTTCCTGTTAAGGACCTCTGTTCTTTCTTTACTATGCTGAGAACGCTAGTACAAGGCTGTCAGTCTTTGCTCTGTCTGGGGTCTAGGTGTTGCACAAGGGCCCACACTTCTGTGTACCGTGATTCACTGTGGCTGCAGTCATGGCACTCAACATGCTTTCAAATCTCACTCACCCTCCTGAGGCATGGGGTGAAATGCAACAGTCCAATTCGTGTTGCTGCTGTGAAAATTGTCTTGATTTATTTGTAAAGCAGAAGAAGACAGAAAGATCTTCCATCCTTACTCTTCAAATGCCCAACAACAGCTGAGGCCGAGCCAGGCCAAAAGTGGGAGACAGAAACTCATTCCTGCTCTGTTATGTGGGTAGCAGGGGCTCAAGGAACTTGTACAGTCACAGGCTGCCTTCCATGCTTGGACACAAGTGCTAAACCTTGGTTATGGGAGGAATGCTAACTTGACCGTCAGACATTTAATTTCCCACTCATCTTACCTCCTCTCATTCACACTGCATGAATATATTCAGTGACCCTATCTTATGTATAATTTAGAATACCCTGAATTAAATAACTTTGGAGAGCTTTAATAACAAGACCATGGATAATTCATATTAATAATAATTATTAACATGTAACACTTTTCTATCATTATAAAAATGAAAACTGTATTGTGTCATTTTTTGAAGAGGTATTATGGTAGGTTGTATATGTTATAGAAGTAATTCATATATTTGAGTGTACATGTTGTCATCCATGCATTTTCTGTGGAGGAATTAAAATCTTTCTGACTGATTTTTGAGTGAGAGAGTACTGAACTCTTTTAGGTTAATAGCTATATTCTGTCCTCCCCAAATTAATATGGATTTAAAGCTAAAAATTTAATTATATAAGTATTGTATAAATAGTCTGATCACAAATTTTAAAGTATGTGAAAAAATGGAGAAATACTCTAATTTGATTGGATATCTTTTAAGAAGGAATCATTTTTAACATTTGTCTGCAGTTGTTGGTGACTCTGAGAGAGCTCTCATCCACCTTGGGAACATGAGATGCCTCGCCTATTGCTCGATTCATACTTGATTCTTACTGAGCAAATCATGTGGCTTACCTAATTTTTATTTGTTTAATTTGAAGTATGTTCAATTTCAGTTCTAGAACATATCTCCCGTTTATGCGGGGGGAAATTTTGTTGAGACGTAAAGTTAAGTGAATTATTCTTTCTAGAACTGTTCTTTGGAATAAATTGGGAAATCCAAAATTTCTATCTGACTTCAAAGTTGAGGCAGTTGTCGTCTTCGGAAAAATCACTTAAGTATTTTCAATTTTCCTTTGATAAAGAGATAACAGGTAAACTTTGCTCATAATTTCAAAATACTTGGTCTTGATTTTCTGTGGATTTCTTGCACATTCTGTATTTTATAGGTTTTTTTTTTTAATGCACAGCACAAAACTTTAAAATGTGAACTACAGGCTGAGAAAATATTATCAGTATAATTTCATTTTGCCTTCCAAAATTGTGCAAAAAAATGTGACTTCAATATATAAAAAGTTGACTAATGCTACCAAATGATTCTTTTTCATTACATGTGAATGATTTGCCAATATCTGGTGAATGTCTTTCCTGCTGGGAGAGAAATGAGTAAATTTTGTCCTTTTTGCTTATACAAAAAAATAACCTGTCTCAGTGGATATTACTGTTATGGTGAAATATAGTGGTTATTTTTGGATAGGTAAATTAGACTTCTGGAAAAAATGAATATAACTTTAATATGAAAACTAACACATGGCAACCTGCTTTCAAATATTATGATAAACCAACGGTAGAGACGCAGTGTGCTCCATGCTCTTAGGCTTGGTAACTGGTTTCATTGTAGTTAGGACCATCACTACAGAGTGAATTAGTCTATCTGTGCATGTGCTTTCATAGCTGAGGAAATGGATATTGACCGAGCTCATAAGTGCTGTTCATCTGTTGTCAATGTTTCTGAGACTCTGAAAGGCTGACCAATGTAAACCGTCCTAAGACTTGATCAAGAACTTGTTAGTCTTTCCATGTACTATGGCGTTTTAAATGATCTCTCTCTATTGAATGTCTTCTCCCTACCAGCTCCAGTGGCTGCTGGACAATTATGAGACAGCCGAAGGAGTGAGCCTTCCCAGAAGCACCTTGTACAACCACTACCTTCGACACTGTCAGGAACATAAACTGGACCCGGTCAACGCTGCCTCTTTCGGAAAACTGATAAGGTCCATTTTTATGGGGCTTCGGACCAGAAGATTGGGCACTAGGTTGGTAGAGAAAGCAAACCATTCTTTTTCAAATTGCAGCAACTCAATAGATTATTTAAGCAAAGGACTTGTCTTCAAATAATATAAAATGTGCTCAATTTGTAAAAGCTGTTAGAGGGAAAGTTCACTATTGATTGAATACTGCCAAATCAGAAGGACAAGTTGTCCTCAGCATCGAGTGGGCGAAACTTCAGAACTTGGGAGAGCAACCTGTTATTGTAGAATTTACGTAGGACTTTTGTTGTTGCTCTGACATCCCTTAAAAGTCCTTTGGAAAGCTTACAAAACCCTTTCAGTCCTTTGTAGTGCCTTATTCTCATTTTATTTCTTATTATCTCTTTCCCTTCTTGTTCTTGATTATAAAACTGTATGTATATAAAGGTAAAAATACAGGTTTCCGTAGGATAGAAACCAACAGTGTGCGGAACCAGCTTTTTGCTTTTTTTCCCCCTTTGGAAGTAAAGAAGTGTTTTTTGTTTGTTTGTTTGTTTGTTTAAGATTTATTTTTATTGTGAAGTCAGACATACAGAGAGGAGGAGATACAGGGAGCAAGATCTTCCATATGTTGATTCACTCCCCAAGCCTAGCTGAGCTGAGCTGATCCGAACCTGGGAACCTGGAGTTTTTTTCCTGGGTCTCCCGCATGAGTGCAGGGTCCCAAGACTCTGGGCGGTTCTCAACTGCTTTCCCAGGCCACAAGCAGGGAGCTGGATGGGAAGTGGGGCTGCCGGGATTAGAACCGACGCCCATATGGGATCCTGGTGCATGCAAGGTAAGGACCTTAGCCACTAGGTTACTGCGCTGGGCCCTAAAGGAGTGTTTTTAATGAGCAAAATGTGACGAAAAGAATATAACACTCGTTTTTGTTTTTTTTTTTTTGTCTTTTCACAGTTTTTACAAATTGTAACAGATACTTTGGGTTGGGAAGAAAGATATGCATGCTTGTGATACTCTAAATACTATAGAAATCATATAAAGCATTAGAATAGGGCTGTTACCCTGTGTTATTTTTCAGTGATACACCTCTAGTTATAAATCACAACTTTTAGATATTTTGGTGAAAATATTTCAATCTTAATGAACAGCCAAATTAATTAATTCATTATAATTTTATAACAGAGCTAAGTTGATGTTCTAGGTGAGAAAATATTGATCCTTTTTGCCTGTAGCAAAGACATGCTCGGGCTTGGCTCTGTAGCCTAGCAGCTAAAGTCCTCGCCTTGGATGCTCCAGGATCCCCTATGGATGCCAGTTCGTGTCTGAGCTGCTCCACTTCCCATGCAGCTCCCTGCTTGTGGCCTGGGAAAGCAGTGGAGGATGGCCCAGCGCCTTGGGACCCTGCATCCGCGTGGGAGACCTGGAGGAATTTCGTGACTCCTGGCTTCAGATCCCCTCAGCTCTTGACATTGCGGCCACTTGGGAAGTGAATCATCAGACCCAAGATCTTCCTCTCTGTCTCTCCTCCTCTCTGTATATCTGACTTTGCAATAAAAATAAATAAATAAAAAGCAGATGCTTTAAAAAAAGGCCTATAAATCCATTTAATGGAGATTCTGTATGACTAAAGTATTCACAACCCAAGACACAGTGTAACAGGGAACACTGTATTATGTTTTATGCCAGGGCCTGTGCAGAAGGCTGTGTGTGAGGGGTGTGCTCTGATGGCAGTGACCTGGGAGAGTCCTGCCATGCCCCTTGGCTCCCCTTCTCCTCTGGGTCTGCAGAGGTACAAACATCCCTTTCCTCCGGGACTAGGACAGAGGTCCACATTGGATGACACTGATCCAGAGGGAAGAAGCAACGGGAACCTTCCAGTCTCCCAGCCCTGTTTCTGCTGTTTCCTCAAATGCCAGAGGCAGCATACTTCAGTGTAGCCTGCGCTAAAATCTATCACTGCGTCTGCTTTATGAGATCCGCCAGGTTCATGTGTACAGAGCGTGTTGAGTGCCCCTTTCGGTTGCATTTTAAGTGACCATCCAGCTTTCACACGGCTAGGGACTTAGTTCTCTCCTCGATAGCTTTTCTGTGTACTTCCACAGGGTATTTTTTAAACTGAAGAATATGATTGCTCATTGAGACTAAAGAAACTCATTTTCTAGGGGAAAAAAAAAAGCTTTATGTTTCTCTAGTATTTTTCCCCCAAACCACTAAAATCATTATTTGGGGATCTGTCCTACGATCTCCTTGCTGATGGTTCAGTCGTCACACATACAGAGCCGATATTTTGAAACTCTGGGCTTTCTTCAGCATTCTAATAGCTGTATTGTGTTTTCTTTGTTACTGAAGGAGATTTCAACGGGCTCTATTCTGAGGCTCCATTTAAATCTCGAAACATATCTTTATAATAGAAAGGGACGGAATTGGAGTTGTTGGGTTTCTGAATGAGGAGACTCTCTAAGGACATTTTGCACTATTGCAGCTTTTATTTCTAATGGCCCTGCTTTTTTCCCACCCCACTCGCACTCACTGTGTAGTTAGTCTATCTCCTGTTCCTTTCCAAATCCTGTGTATTACTTGCAGCAATAGTGAGAAAGCAAAGCCTTGGCAAACAAGAAGAGACTAAGTGTGGAGGGAGAGTTTGGGGAATAAACAAGAGAAATATTATGAAGATACAACTTGAAGGAAAGATTGGCAGCGACAGGGATGTGTTTCCAGAGATTGTTTCTGTCTTGAAAACTCTTTAAGCGTTTGTTTTCTGAGCTTCCCACTTAGAATAGAATGCGAATTATCATTCAATGCAAAACTAAATCCTGATGATTCTTTTTTTTTTTAAAGTGAATTATATGCAGGCTAGTAGTAACCAAGAATAAAATTTTCTGCTGAAATCACTCAAACCAGAACCAGACCTTTGTAAGGCTTTGAACCAAAGTAAACACAAAATTCACTTTTTTTTTTAAAGATTCAGTTATATTTATTGGAAAGGCAGATTCACAGAGAGAGGGAGAGACAGAAAGATCTTCCATCCACTGGTTCGCTCCCCAAATGGCTGCAATGGCCAGAGCTGAGCCAATCTGAAGCCAGGAGCCAGGAACCTTCTGCGGGTCTCCCACGTGGGTGCAGGGTCCCAAGGCTTTGGGCCGTCTACTGCTGATTTCCCAGGCCACAAGCAGAGAGCCGGATGGGAAGTGGAGCTACTGAGAAACAAACCTGCGCCCGTATGAAATCCTGGCGTTTATAAGGCTAAGACTTTAGCCATTATGCTACTGCACTAGGCTCAGGAATCAAAAATTGAGTGTGTGTTAGGGGAAGCTGGAATAGAGAGCAGAGCTTGGAATTGAACCCACGAACTACCAAAAAGGATCCTGACTGACCAAATGCCTATTCCTGTTTAGTGTTTCACTGAAAATTTGTCAGAAAAATGCTTCTCTTAGGTCTTTCAGCTGATCGATCCAAGGTCTTATATTGATTTTTGAAACGTTTTTAGTAAAAGTAAACTCCTAAGTAGATGACATCTGTATGTCTCACCTACTGAATTTTTGAGATACGAAATTACAGGAGTGTATTGTGTGATTAATACTTGTCTTTGTGTGTGTGTGTTTGCAATGTCCGTTTTCGTTTTATGCAGAGGAAACTCCAAGTACCATTATTATGGGATTCGTGTGAAGCCGGACTCCCCTCTTAATCGTCTGCAAGAAGATATGCAGTATATGGCCATGCGACAACAACCCATGCAGCAGAAGCAAAGGTACGCTCACTCCATCACTGGAACGCCACGTCTGTGCATCTCCCAGTTACTTAGGTCTCCACTCCTTGGGCAGAAGCAAACATGCAAATGCACAGGAGTGCTGTGATCGCCGGCATGCTTTCTCCAGGGGTCATTCTCAAACAGGATTTAGAGTTGTCATGACCCTATCTGTTTCCCAAATTTTAAGAAATTACTTATCTCTCAGTGTGTTTGGCCCCTTTTATGTGTGACATCCCAATCTGTTCCAACAGGGAAGTGAAACAGAAAGCATAAGGTGCACACTCCAGCAGATGCCAACTGGAGATACTTGTTTCAGTGTTCCGGAACTTTGGATTTGCTTTTCTGCACATCTTTCCAGGCATTCTTTTTGATACAATATGAGTTCTTGCAGAATGTTTGGGACTAATGTTTTTTGGGTTCCAACTTCTGTAGTTGTAGAATTGTAGACGCTAGAATTGTAAGAGATCTATCTCAAGCATTCATGGATGGGTAGAAAGTTTAACTCAGCCAGATTGCTCATCCATACTGCTTTAGTCAGAGGCAGGAACTCTGATGCACTCCTGGACGGGTAACCTATCACCACAGCAGCCTTTCATCTGTCGTGGGTAGGGAAATGCCTGACTCGCAAGCCGTTTAGAACCCATGAACTCTTTTGGTCTTACCTTACCGAGGCAACCACAGGTCGGACTTGACTTTCAGTAACCCTACAGCAGGCTAATTTTTAAGTGAATGATTTTGTATGACCTGCACATGATGTTATATATTGTCAAATTATCCTTTGCCCCCAAAATTGTTACTTTCCCCTGAGTGAGTCAGCACGGAAGGGAAGACATATAGAAAATTGTAAACCACTAAAAAGAAGGAATATAGTTTGAGAAGCGTTAAAATGAAGTTTTGATCAAGGAACTGACAAATACAGATTACTTTTCAGCAAGCTTTGGGAGATGATTGATGAGATTCAAAGAGAAGTGATGTTTGAGTTGGTAATTAAAAGATTCGGAAAAATATTCAGGAGAGGGAAAATCCACCCGTGATGTCCACAATTTGATAAAGCTGGTTTTGCAGGACAATCAAGTTAGAGAATTGAGTAGTTTAGTCAGAGATAATATTAAAGCGTTGTTTGGATGACACGTTGAAGGATTTGGTTGTAAATGAAGTGTGTAGGTTTGTTCTTTGTGCAGAGCATAGCTTTGAAGCTGTGGGAGGCTATGAAGCGAAACAATAAAACTCTGATTTTTCCTAGAGTGATGACTTTTTGATTTGGGGCAAGACATATATATTGGGAAGAGACTGGAGGTAAGGAAATTTGCTAAGTGGTTTTAACACAGACATGATTTCCGGTGTGTGTGTCTCAGACTGAAGATCACTTCAAGACGGGCTGTTTTATAAAGGCGTCTCAAGGATTTTAGGTGGTTTTCTCGTGTGCTTTCGTTTTAATGTAAAGATTCTTAGTTTTGTCTTTTTAATTGCTGTTCCTTCTATTTTGGAAGGACAGCCGGTGAAACAGACCAGGACCTTATATGACTTATTTCTGTCGTTTAACTCCAAGGAATTCTAGCTTTGTGTAGTTGAAATGTAGACTTTCAATGGACTATGCATAATAAAATAAACACTGACAAAAAATCCATTAGGTAAAAATGTACTTGGGCTTCCTGTGATCTCCTGTTAAATAAATTAGGGTGCTAAAAAGGTAGATGAGTCGTAAAATCCTCTTTATTCTCTATATAGTAGTAATTGCTTTTAGAAAAAGAGCAATATGGGGATAGTTAAGAAATGACAAACTTCTCAGTAATAATCATAAGTTCTGTATACATTATTCTTGTAGAATTTACTCTCTTTTAAATTTTTTTATTGTTCATTTTCATTTATTTGAATGGCAGAGAGAGATAGGCAGAAGTTTACCATCCAGTGATTCCCTCCCCAAATGCCTGCAAAAGAGATCTTCCATGCACTTGTTCACTCCCCAAATGGCTGTAATGGCTGAGGCTGGGCCAGGCTGAAACTAGGAGTCTTCGATGTGGGTGGCTTGCTTCCCAGAACGATCAGCAATAGGCCAGGAGGGAAGACTTAAGTCAACGTTCCCCTGGGTTGGCAGCATAGGTGGCTGCTTACCTCCCTGCACCAGAATGCCGACCCCGATTTGTTGGTTTCTTACTGTGATATGTGTTTTGCATTATGGATGGGTACATTGCTAAATGGCTGCAGTGTTAGTGTGAGCAGCTGCTTGGGATCTTCATTCGTGTCCATTAGACAGCAAGCGGGCTGTGTTTCCCTGAGAAGGTCTATCCAATGAGAGCACTGATAGGCTTACCCAAAACCATCGCCACACCGTGCTGAAACGTGGACCAAGGCAACATGTCAAAAATGATGGAACCAAAGAATGTATAGCATTTGTTTTATACCTTAAAAATTAGAAGGTGATGATTTTAGAACTCAAAAGATTCTTCTGTAATATGTTAAAAAAATTTACACGAGACTTCTGTTGAAATAGCAATGACCTATGAAAGGCTTAACATATTCAGGAATAGGTATTGTATGTAATATTTCAGGATAATTGAATTAAGAGCCTCAAATTGAATTGTTTAAAAACCTCAAAGATTATTTATGCCATCTCTATGTGTGGTATAATTTTACATGTTTTACAATTTTGACATTATTTTGTCAATGGAATTTATGTTTTGGTATTCATTTTAGAAATTTGCATGTTACATTTGAACTTACAAACGTTTCAAGACCCGTAATGATTTTTGTTTTAATAGAGTTACAGTTTTCTTGTGTTCTTTTCTGTGAGGGTTTTCCTCTGAAAATATGACAAGTCACTAGAGGGAATTTTCTCTTATCGGCAAGTAGGATTCTCAGCCACATTACCATATGGAACATAGCTGTGAGGCTGGAAAGAAATAAAATGGCTTCTAATGGAAAAGCAGATCTCACAGAGCCTGTCATTTCAGTTAGTTGAAAATAAGAAGCCATCTTCAGCCATTCACCTGCAATAAAGGAGCATACTGGAGCCCACTTGGATCAAAAGCAATCATGGGTTGTGACGGCTGACTCCAGGAAATATAAGTAGACACGGCCTTCTCCTGGGTCGTTCAGCAGAGGAGAAAGGAGGAAAGGCCCTATGTCTGCACACCGGGCAGGCATTCCGAGTCCCACTCTAGGGACTGGATTGGAGTCTGTCACGATATAGCAACTGTTTGGTAGACTAATGGCATTATGGACGTTCAGAAAGAGATAAAATGCCCTTGTTCAGAAAGTAGAATAGTGTGTCATTGTTTCGTTGTTTTTCTTACTTGCTTTAAATGTCTTCTCCTGAAGACATTCAGATTCAAGTAGTGTTTATACTTAAGTAATATTCACTTTTCAAAGCAATTATATTTATGTACTCATTCTTCTTACCTTAGTTTGGAAAACTCATCAGTGGCAAACAGAAGCTCAACCGTTTCTAGGTTCACAGATCAAATAAAAATGCTTGCTACAGTTTATTTTTAATATTTAAAAGAAGTACATGGAGAATGTTGGCACATATATTGGAGCTATTTTTCCAGATCCCAGGAGCTACAGCTGTGGATAAGAGCCAAATGCTTTTGACAACGTGCTTGGCTGTGTCTGTTCCAGTAGCTATTCTGAAAATATTAAACTGCATTCATTATTTCTGAAATAAATACTCACACATACCAATTGCACATTATATACAGAGTATGGCATATCTAGAAACTATATCACAGGCTCATAGAATGTAAAAGAGAAAAGGAATGTATCATTTAGAAACCATCTCCCATCTTCTCCCTCAAACATTTTTGAAATTTTGGGAACAGTGCGATGGAATCCATTTTGGCCCCAGTTCACGTCCTGGCTGCTCCACTTCCCATCCCAGCTCCCTGCTTGTGACCTGGAAAAGCAGTGGAGGATGGCCCAAAGCCTTGGGACCCTGCAACCACATGAAAGACCTGTAGGAGGTTCCTGGCTCCTTACTTTGGATCAGCTCAGCTTTGGCCATTGTAGCCATTTATGGAGTACAGCAGTAAATGAAAGATTGTTCTCTCTGTCTCTCCTTCTCTCTGTAAATCTTCCTTTCCAATAAAAATAATAAAGGAATCTTTTTAAAAAATTATTTTCATTTTCTTTGAAGGACAGATAGGAAGAAACAAACATTTCTTCCATCCGTTGATCATCCCAAATGCCTGCAATAGCCAGGAGTGGCCCTGGTCATAACAAGGACCCTGGGACTCAACCTTGGTGTCCCATGGGGGTGACCCAAAAGAAAACCAAAAATGACTTGTATCCCATCATCCATCACCCAAGCTTGTCTTCAATGTCGGAATCCAGGAATCAAAAGAAAATTGACAGAATGCATCGTTTCTACTGAATAAAAGTAGGCTCCCAATGAAACTTCTAAATATACGTAGACTACAAACTATTAAGCTTTCTGCCGTTGCCTATACCAACAGTGTTACGACCCGCACAAAGAGCAGAAAGTTGGAGTCAAGACTGCACATAATAGACTATTTTACTACACAGAAAACTGTGGCTGGGGATAAAAGGGTATATGGCAGAGAGGGAAGGGATTAAGTCCTATGCCTGCAAAATTGTAAAACAGAAAATAAGAATAAGAAAAAAAAGAATTTACACGCAGAGATAAAATGTTTACCTATGTAAGGAAGAGAGACATTGCTTCTTTTTTTAAAGATGTATTTATTCTTATTACAAAGTCAGATATACAAAAAGGAGGAGAGACAGAGAGGAAGATCTTCCATCCGGTGATTCACTCCCCAAGTGACTGCAACATCCAATGCTGCGCCAATCCAAAGCCAACAGCCCAGATGTTCTTCCTGATCTCCCACAGGGGTGCTGGGTCCCAAGGCTTTGTGGTCTGCTTTTCCAGACCACAAGCAGGGAGCTGGATGGGAAGCAGGGCTGCCGGGATTAGAACCGGCGTCCACATGGTATCCCGGCGCTTTGAGGACTTTAGCCACTAGGTCAGGGCGCCGGGCCCAAGA